AGAACCTTTTAATTTTATGTCAAATACGGGTTTGTTACATAAATTGTGTGGGTAATCTCTTCACACAATTTGAGCATACCTTTTAGAAAGGGATTTTTTTAAATTACTGGAAAATGTTAAGCAGAGGCATCTAAGCTTAAATTTAGACCCCGCTTGACTACAGAATTTACAAAGGTCTAAAAACTGAACTCCTCTGACCCTATATTGGTAAGCTTCATAGTCCAGTTTGGAATGGCTTATTCCTCAGTATAGTGCTAACCTTAAAATCCTGTGTCCCGTAGTTTGGGTTTGCCCTTTGGTGGGTTTAGAAACCAAGTGGCTATTAATGCATTTGATGGCATCCAATTAAATGTTTTCTTTTCTTCTATCACATCATCAAATTTAAAACATGACCTGGTCTAGTCTGTGCTCTCTACAGGACTGGGGTGACAACTCTCTCAAGTTCCTCCACGTTTATGGCTCTCTCTATTGTTCACGGCCAAACCATACTAGATGATGTATATCTTATATCTGATAGTTAAAACCTGAAAATTAAATGTCTTCTGATGTTTAGAGTGCTTCTAATCATAACAAAAGAGTTTTTATGTGTAAAAATAAAAACTCTTCATGATTCAATAGACTATATAATTGCATAAGTACTTTTAAAACATACTTTTGGGGAGGTGATGTCTTGAGAGCAAGACAATTCCAGTCACAAGAGCCTGGATTTGGATGAGAGACATTTTGCAACAGCAACACTGATGACTTAAAAAAGCACTCCTTGGTTAGTAAATCTGTCTCAGGCAGTTCAGGCTGCTATTGTAGAACATTATAAACAAAGGAACTTACTCAAGAAATATTTTTCTCTCACATTTCTGGAGGCCGAGAAGACTAAGATCAAGGTGTTAGGAGCCCTGTCTGGCGAGGGCCCTTTTCTTGGTTTGTCAGCGGCCTGGGGCCATCTTCTAGTAACATCCTCACATGTCAGAGAGAGAAAGCTCCCTCTTGTTTATCCTTAGAGGCACTAACCTAATCCTTGAAGGCCCCAGCCTTATGACCTAATTACCTCCCAAAGGCCCCACCTCCTAATACCACCAGATTGGAGTTAAGAAGTTCAACATATAAATTTGGAGGGAACAAAAATATGCTGTTCACAACCTGAATCCACTTCTAGTAAAGTTTCTGATTTTTCCAACCCTCCTAAACACAACATTTGTTTTGTTCCAAACCTGTTTCTCCTTCTGCCGTGGGAGCATCCACTTGTGTTTGAAACATTCTCAGAATCTAAATAGAAAAGTAACCACTTATAATTCACTGATGCTTTAGTAGCTGCCTAACCATATCTTATTAAAGTGGAGCTATAGATATGAATCTAAAACACATACTCTGAATATCTTAGTCTTTCCTGAGCATTACAATAGTAATAGCTAACATTTATTTAGCACTTTATAGTTTTGCCAGTCCATGGTCTACATGCTTGTTGTATGTTGTTTAACAAGGAAAATTGCCAGGTGTGGTGGTGCATGCCTGCAATCCTAGCACTTGGGAGGCTGAGACAGGAGGATTGCAATGAGTTTGAGGCCAGCCTGGGCTACACAGTGAGTTCGAGGCCAGCATGAATTACATAGCAAAACCCTGTCATACACACACACAAAAAAAAAACTACTTGTAAAGTCAGGTACTCTTATAATCAATCTTTTATAGATAAGGGAGTTGAGACACAGAAAAGTTAAACTCCTTGCACAAAACATGATAGCAGCAGAAGCACACCTTGTTCAACCATAATCAATATGAATGACCCCTCCTACCTGAGGAAATTTCCTAAAGAAATTCAACGTCAGTATCATCTGCTATTTGACTTAATGACATTAATAGTAATGTCTGTCCCATCGACTTCACAGACTTGTTGGGAGGGTCAAATATAATGGTGGAGAAGTATGTTTCAGGTTTTCCCTTCTCTTTGGAGCTGTTCTAAAACATATAGAATATAGAATATATAAAATATGTGGTAAAATCTTAGTTCCCGGGCAGAGAGTGAGTGTTTCTCAAGCCACCCCAGCAATGTATACAGATAAGACTAAGAATTCTCCAGACTCTGTCCCATTCCTTCTCCATCCCAGCAGGCCTGGCACCCCAATTACCATGGAAACTCACTGCAGGTTCCTGGCTGACCTTACATGGCTGCTGTCCCTCTTCTCTCTTATATCTAATTTTAAAATGCAAATTCTCCAGTGAACAATCTGGGTTCTCAGTTGACTTTCTCTATAAGTAAAGTAGCTGATTTTTTGAGCATTTTTTAAACACACACATATAGAGCGCAAGTGTTTAAATGAACATGATGTCATGTCTTTCTGTTCTGTTATTTCACCTGCCTCCCTGTGTCTTCTCTCCACGTCTGTTTCTCATTGCATATAACCCCTCCCTTTGCCCCTCTATCTCCTTTTATTTGAGTGTAAGTGATTTTAATACTGAACAAACATACTATGTATTATTTGCTCTATTTCAGAAAAAGGTGTCCCTTATTCAAGAGAAAGTTTACAGCATTCTAATTGTTCCTTTCCAAAATGAACTCCAAAACACTGAAAGTTGTTAAAGATTTATTGAACCCACCATCATAACTTATCACGCCAATTCCTTGCAATATCTGGGGAGATGGGGGGCCAAGAACATCCCTTTTCACATAAGTCCAGCACAACCCCCTTCCCTTTACAGCCAAGCAGCCAAGTCTGAGCTCTGCCAGACAATGGGAAAAATATTATTTCTACAAACCTCTTTCATTCTGTACACATTAATTGAGCCTCCCTTAGGGTAGGAGAATTAAGCTAAGATGCTCGTAAGGGGTATAACCCATAATTACCTCCAAGATCTGAACAGAAGCTAAAGGACCCAGATGCAGTAACTTCATTTGAAGGTAAACTGTGCATAAGCATGTGAAAGTAGAAGTCAGCCTTGAAACTGCATGCGAATTAATGAAGGCAAATTAGCCTGGGATTTGTGTTTGCTGTGTGGGAAGGTGATGGCAGAGTAAATCTTCCAAATTTAAGTATATTTTATGTTAATTGCAGAAAGTAGCATAGATGTGTTCCTTTAAATCTCATCCAAGGGGAGCTAGAGTTGGGCTTGTTGAGTTCTTTTATTATCTACTCAAATGACTCCAGTCCTTGTTTGTATTTACTTCAGAAGCATAGGCCTATTTCTGAATAGCTTTACAACTTCAAGTGTTTTAAGAAACTTCTTTTTAATACTATTTAGTTAATTGTACCATAATAGCTCCTAAATGGAACATTATATCTATCAGTTTTAAGTGCTACTGTAGATATAATAGCTTTGGTCATATTATTATAATCTTTTTTATTTAGAGCACTTGGAAAGCTGAAAATTAAGTATGTCTCAATCTGCTATCATTCTTACCATTACTTACCTTTGTGCTAAGTAAATACTAATGAAATTATATCACCTCTTATAAAATTATATTCTGAATTGTCTGCTGATGGAATATTGGTTTAATGTAGGTACACATTCTTCCCTGTTCTCCTTTCTGTTCAGCTAAAAATGTTTTCTCTGTCATAGCAAGGTTACAGGAGCACTGATTTTTTAAAAATACCAGTATACTTAGTAAAGACAGATTTAGAATGGAGAAGAAAAAGGAAATCTGAAATTACAACCCTATGCAAGTGTATAACACCTATCATGAAGTCCTGGATGCTACATGCATGAAACATCCCATGCCCAGAAATGGCCTATTGTTGAGAGAAAGGCTGAACTAAGAAAGTTGGCCTAAACTATCAGCAGGTGTCCCCAAACCAAGTCACTCTTGGTATTCAAGATATGATCCATCCTCTAGCAGCTGTTTGTGCCACCAAAGACTCAGAGCCCACACCACTCATACCTGGTACAAATCTACATGTTAAAAGGACCCTCAGAGGGTTCCTGTATGCTAGTAATTGGAGAAGTCCCGTCTATACCAGTCAGAGATCTCTACCATGAAGTAGGAACAGTTCCTCTTTAACCTCAAGTGTTACCTAAAAATACACTAGCCACTCTCTTTAACAGAGATTGGTGCTATAGTCACAGAGAAAGTGAAACATTGTGCTGCTTTAAAACTTCAAATCAGCCTTGGAGATCTGGGGCCTGGGGAAACAGAGATAGTGAAGAGGGAAAGTGCTGAACACTTCAACCAACTGTTGGAAGGAAAAGTTCTTGTTGGATCCATTTTGCCCTCTTCCCCATGTGATGTTATTGGATTTGATTTCTTTTCTTCTACAGCAGGGCATATTGGTTTAAAAAAAGACTTAAATTTAGTATTCCATCCAGATGCTTTCAGTTTGGCAGGCCAAAAGCAAGTTTTACATAGAGACTGAGATCACTGAAAGGCATTAGAATTTTGAGCTTGAAATTTCAAAGGCACTTTAAAGTCAAGAAACTGTTTAGGAAAAACTAAATGAATATAAGTGACCTTGATATAATTCTGCAGTGATATTCACATCTCAGCCATCTTGGAAAAAGTTCCTTGGGGTACCTTTTAACTAGTCTTCCTGGCACTGAGTTCAAAACAACAGACTTTATGCTAAATCTCACTTATGCAAATGACATGAACTGGAAAGTACACTAAGACCCAAAACATCTCCAATTTAACTGGAGGAAACATAAAGGGAAAAAAACTCAAACTGGAACTCAGTTTATCTCACTATATAATAGACTCACAACACAGATCATTTGTGACTTCAAAAGCTTGGGGGAATTCTCATCAGCAGGAAAGCCATCAATTCTGCAATGAACCCCAGATGTATATCCTCTAGTTCATTTCTGACACTACCATAGGCTGAAGGTTCAATTCCCACGACTACCCCTCCTACCCCCACCCTACTGCCCTCAGATGCCAGCTGTAAGCTCCAGGTTATTTTCCCAGTGCTTCTGACCAACAAGCTATACATCAGAGGTCCTATGATCCCCTCTTCAGGGTTGATTAATTTACTTAAGTAGTTCACAGAATTCAGGGAATTGCTTATGTTTACTGATTTATTATAAAGGATATTACATACAGATGAACAGATGTACAAGACAAGAAGGTGTGTGAAGCTTCCAGGCCTTCTCCGTACATGTCATCCTCCGAGAGTCTCCACATGTCCGGCTATTGGGATGCTAGATGAGTTTGTCCTTTTGAGTTTTTATGGAGATTTCATTTCACTGGCATCAAACTCAGTGGAGAAACCCAAGAAAGTTCTGTTCAGTCTTCTTGACTTCTCTGTGCAGCCCTCTTTCCTCACAGGTATGAAGTAGAAACCCTCTGACGTGATAGTCCCACAGTCAACTATCAGACAAGATGGGTCAGAGAATTTCTTTATTGCCAGACGAAGACAGAAGGGAGAAATTAAAATTTCTATGACCTGCCTTGGGGAGAAGGAGGAAGGTGCTTTCTGAGGGTGCTTCTGAGGTGTAAAGTGCCCCCACGTTATTCTACTCACTGTGGAAATAACAAAAGCTATGGGAAGAATGAGCCAGAAAGCATGGACAAAATCAAAGTATACTCTCATAATACCACAGACAGGCACCATAGCTACCACTTACTCCACTTGTAATGTCTCAGCAGCTGCTGCCTCTCTGCAGTTTAAACAGTCCTGGACCTCATATGTATGACATATATGGGAGTGACTGGGGCAACTCCACCACCTTTCTCTAAAGATAATTAGCAGGATCAGACTAATTCTGTTTTCAAAATAAAAATGAGAGTTTTGACTTACATGGCTGGTTTAGTTATCACATAAGCTATTTTCCAGGGTTTCCATTTTCCTTTCTCACTGTATTTTTTTCTTATTTTTGCCATCTCTTTTTTCAATAATTTCATATCTACAGGCCAATAGCTACTAAGGTTAAACAATATTTTAAAATGTTTTCCCAAGTATTTATTGGTTTAGGAAAAAATTTATCATTCAATATTTTAATCAGAGTCTTAGAATATCTCAGGCAATAAGTATTAACAAATTATATGGTGTTGTTATTTATATCTTTTTCAGTAAGGATATTGTGATAAATTTTTTTTAGTTTCAGAAGGAAAATAGCAATTTTCATGAAAATAGTTTTTCATGAAAAGCTAAATTTGAGTTGTGGTATACATAAATTATCCAAATTATATAAACAGTGTATAGAAGCAGGAAATTTCAATTTAGTATTAACTAGGAAAATATTTTAGTCTCTGTGACTGTAATAATGTCTATCTCAAACAGAGATACAAAACTAATACAAAATTAATGAACTCATTCAAAACAGGATCAAAATGATTACCTACTAGAGCAAAATATTTGAGCTTGGTGCATTACTTCCCTTGGTTGATGCAATAAAGTATCACAAATTGAGTAGCTTAAAAACAAAAAAAGAAGAAATTCATTGTTCTCACAGTTGTCATAGCAAAAAGCCTATAGTCGAAGTGGTAATCAAGGCCATCCTCCCACCAAAGCTAGGATGGAAGGATCCTTCCCAGCCTCTTCCGGCTTCTGGCATCCCTGACAACCTTGACTGATTATAGGTTACATCCAACCTATGTTTCCATCCTCTCATGACCACCTTCCTTGTGTGTCTCTAGAGTCCCCTATTTCTGTAAGGTCATCAGTCATCACATATTAAAGGCCTCCCCTAAAAAATTCATCTTAACTTGATATCTGCAAAGACTCTGTTTCCAAATAAGTCTACATTCACAGGTACCAGGCACCAGAGCCTCCACATATATTTTGGGAGGACACAATCCAACCCACCACATTTACTCAGTGATAAAACCTACAATTTTATCAAAATAATAGTTTGATTCATTCTCTCTCTCTCTCTCTCTCTCTCTCTCTCTCTCTCTCTGTTTCAAAAACTAAAATAAACTTTTTTGTTTGCATTGAAATAATAAGTAATAGAAATCAAGCTAGTATAAGGAACACACTAATAATAAAGATTCTTTTACAATGGAGAAAAGACTATCTAGGGTCTATCAATGAAGGCAGCATGAATAACAGAAGCAGTAACTTAAGATCTTTGAAGTCTGTCAGTAACATACCTGCATGGCTGCTCTTAGAAAACAAAGAGAAGGTCTTTGAGAAGTTCTATGAGAACTGGTCCAAGAAAACAAAGTTAGGATAAGTTCAAAGAATTCATGAAGAAGAAAAGACAGGACCTTAGTGCTAAGAGTAATTTAACACAAGAAATAACTTAGCATACCATTAGTCACTCTTTGATAACAGCTGAATGTTTAGAAAGCATAATTCATACTGCTTTATGTGCCATTCACGACTTAACATATCACAGTAAGCAATCTTTCCTGTTACATTTTTGTGCCTATCTTTAAATAGGTTACTTTCTTCTCAGACTTGCAATTTTCCCACCTTCTCCTTGGAACACCATTTTAAGGACCCTTTCTGTTGTCTTGTTTCCCTCTTCTGGTCTGCGTACTCTTCAATCTTTTGTAAATACCTGCAGGGATGGGGTGCCTCTCAGCATCACTCCTGGTTGCTGGTTTTCTCTAATTTCAATCCTAGCTTCCTACAGCTATCCTAGAATCCTTAACAGAGTACCTGGTTAAGACTTTCCATAATCAGTCTCTTCCACCCTCTCAGAGATGTTCCTTGGCCATCTAGGAAAATCTCTGAATCAAGTAATCTTAACTTAAAGTGTAAATATTATTACATCTTCTGGAGTCAAGATTGTTATCACACTTTCAAAGAATTTCCCAATCCAAAATGATTAAAAAAAAAAGTCACAGTCTCAAAAGTGCAAAGTCAGTCACTATCAGTTGAAGTGCTGGGAAGAGCTTTGGCCATATTCTACCAAGATGTAACTAAGATTCCAGGGCTCAAGAAACACAAACTCCTGACAAAGGAGATAGCAAAGATCCCCAGACCACTGAGAAAATATGAACGCTTACTAAAGAGAAAGAGAATTCTGGTTTGTCAGAAAAACCTGAAAGTGAAATTTTCTCTCCTCTACCTTCTACCCACACTGGGCCTGGTAATACCTTAATAAGAAATATATTAAATGAGATAACATATGTAAAGCACTCAGCATGAAGCCCAGAAGGTATCAGATATTCAATAAATATTAGTTCCTTCTGCTATTAAGAGGAATACCAGCTACAATGTTTATGTGAATCTCTGGCCATAATTACCATGCAGCACAGTAAGAAGTATGTGGAAAATTAAATATGTACCACTATGTTAATTTGGTTTTTAAGTTTTATTGATAACGTCATTATATGTGTTATGTAAGCTCAGAGTTTTTCAGCTTATACAGCATGATTAACTGTTCCTAACTTAAGAAAAACAATCCAAAGTAACATCTGAGGAAAATACAGTTCAGGGTCTTCCAAGGTTAACATACAGTACTTAACTTCCCAGAGTATAAAATATAGCCTTGCTCTTTGTTCTTCCTGTAAAAACCCAGTCCCAGCCCCACCCATCACCATGGTCCTCCCCACAAATCTGGGTAGTCTACGTACTACATAGCACTGATACTTATATTTTACCTCCTTTTACCCCACTTTAAAAATTGAACATCACTTGTCACTACTGGCTAAGACCAAGCACTCTCCAATACCAGATTCATCCGTTTGTTGGATGCTTTGATGTGCAGTGCAGTTCAACCTTAACAGTCTGGGAACTCCAGCCAGTGCAGTGCTTGCAACAAGAGCTGAGAGCTCCCTGCCAAAATAACCCTCACTAGAGAATCGCTGATCAAAACACTGGCTGCAAGGGAACCGTGGGCTGTGACTCAAAGCCACAGGAAGTTGAAAGCAACCACACCCATTTATCAATATCTGGGAAAAGGAGGTAACATTAGCAAGAGTGAAAAATAGCTGGACCTCTCAAACTCAAAAGCAAATGTTTGTGAACAAACCCGGCCTAAAGTTAAAGTTGAGGTTTCAGGGAATCCAGCTGAAACTGTGTCACAGCATAAATGGGAATCACTCTTATTTTAAAAATCTAGGAATCCACTGAACATATTTAGAAAATTCTCAATAGTGTCTAGCACTGTATAACAATTATTTTAACTCATAACATCAGGAAATGACTGTATCTACAAATGGGATCAATCATTTCCAAGCCTTGTAATAGCAAACAATTTCAGGCTCCAGGTCAATCCCCGGGAATATTTTAAACATGCTTGTCACAGAGTTCACTGGAAATAAACCATTTGGTCTGTACACCAGAATAGCCCTTGATAATTGTTTTAAATTGAAATTGAAGAAAGGGTCACTGTCACCAGGCACTAGCATACACATGTACTCTTGTAGGTACTAAAAAGTGAATAAAAAAAAAAAAAAAAACAAGGACAGCATGAAATTTATTGACTTTAGTCATTATCCCCTGCATCTCTCAATGTAGCTGTGCATATGGTAGTTTCAACTTTCACTCCTCCCTCCCCCATTCTACCCCTGGTCCTAGAGATTGAACTCAAAGCCTTCACACTAACATAATAAGCTACATCTCCAACTCTTCCTTTTATCTTTTACTTTGAGACAAGAACCCACTAAGCCACTAAATTGCCTAGATAAGATGGAACTTGTTATCCTCCTGCCTTAACCTCCCAGAGTGCGGGGATTACAGACATATGCCACCACACCTGGCTCTACTGTCACTTCTTATAAAGAACAGCACACTGCTTGTCTTGTAACTGTGTAGGCTTTTTGCTAATTTCACACATATTTTCCATCACACTGAAGAAAATCACAGAAATGGCAATAAGAATCCTAGAATTGGATAGAATTATAGGTTGGCAAAAATGAATCAATATTTTGATCTCTGAAACATTTTGAAACTTTAATGTCTTGCAAATAATTCTTCATTCTTGGAAGAAAAACATGGGCTAGAAATTTGTTATCAAGCGAAGTGAACTTTAGTACTTCCTTTTAAAAATTAACATGGAAATGAAACAAGAAGACTGGATGGCACAGAAGACTGAAGTGTCTAGAAAATCTACAGAAGAGGACTGCACAACATTAATTTTAAATGTCCAATCTTAATTCTACTGAGAACCTCGTGACACATCCAGACAGGGAACCTCTCTTGAAAACAAGTTATACTTGTCACACAAACAATACAAAACTTAAAATAAGACATATTCCTTAGGAGAAGCAAATAGTGATCATTACTTTCTAAAATTAGTGTAAATATAATATTTATAAGATATAAGCAATTCTGAGTTGTTTTCTACTGACCTATTTACCAAAAACAGTCTACTTTATTTATCACATAAATGTTCAAACTTATTTTCTAACATTTACTGTAGAAGGTTACTATTTCATTCAGATACTATACATAGCATATTTTCTTTAAAACT